TTGATCAGTACCAATATCCAGATTTACCAAAAAAAAAATCATGGTAAAAACCAAACCGAGCCGAAAAAAACCAATACCGAAAAAAATCGAAAAAAAATTGAACTGAACCGAAATTTCGGTTTGGTTGCGGTTTCAGCAAAAAACCGAACCGTTTCAAACCGAACCTAACCCTATGCTAATTTGATAGGTCATGGGTGTCACAACTGAAAAGGTCAACCAAAGTCAACACATTCCCTTTCTAAGGGCATTTTGGTCGTTTCATACTTTCGGAAATTAAAATAGAATAATTTTCAGGATAAATCGTAGGAAGAAGTGTTTCAATTACAGGAATTTATACTTACAAGCTTCTAGGTATTGTAGGTTGATTTGTATACCAAAAATACTGCTTGTAGCTTCCAATGCTAATAGATCTAGAGAAATGGTTTTAACTTTCAACACATATCCAAGTCCAACCTTACAGTAGACTTATGTTGCAGTCAAATGAATAAACAAAGAGCAAAGAATGTGATGGTATTATATAATAAGTGCTTAAAGAATAATATCCTATTTTCTGTACCTAGTAGGTAAAAGAAACCAAACGATTATAAAACGAAAAAACAAAAATTCCAACAGAGAAGTATTCCGTGTGATATTAGCTTTAATACAGTAACTTGGATTATATTTTTCTTTTTCAAAAATTTGATCTTTATGAATATGACCTTGCACTAACCAATACTGCCGTTTTACTTTAATTGGCCGAAAATTAACGCATCTTTTAATCTCAATTGACCTGGAGAATCTCCCATGCCACAAGTTAAATCTCCAATTATTAAAAAACATCACATGGTAATAGAAACTTGGCTTAATTACTCCGTTGCTCCTTAAAAAGTGTTTGCGAGTCCCACTTTGCCCTTAAAAGTTATATTGACCCAATTTATTCTCTAAATTATGTTTTCATGTCCTACTTTACCATACGTTGTAAGTTCATTAAGTTTTCCATTTAGATATGTTGATGCGGCACAAATGGGTCCATTTTTTGCTTGTTTGTATGCCAAGTGGGTGCTACATGTGCAAAAATATTATTTTTGAAACATTTTGAACAAAAATATTTCACATGCGCTTCCATGGTTCCACCGGGCACCCTCGCGACGCCCAAAACCCAGTCCCCACTCCTTACAGCAATTGCACAACTCAGCTGCAATGCCAACATCTACGAGCTTCCTTGTCCCCGACCTCCCTCTTCCACTCCATCACCCAGATCCACAACCCCAACCCGGATCTGCAAAACAGTTCAAGTCCCTGACCTCTTCGCTTATTAGTTTTTTTTCTTTTTTAATTTTTTTTTTAACAAACGATAGCATTAATAGATTAAATTGTCCATTGTTAAGAGAAAAGGGATCTGTGAGATTAAAGCCACATTAAATGCACAAACATATTAAAATAAAATAAAGTTCTAATTTGTTGTGCATATATAAATGTTAATTCATTTGTCACCAGTATGACTACATGCACAACAAACTACTTATTCAGTTCTAATACATTTCTTCTATATTATGATAGAAGATTTGGAACTAAATACATCACCTCCAACGAAGCAAATACCATCTCTTGCTTGCGAGGTTTTTTTTTTTTTTTTTTTTCCTAAAGAGATTTTAATGTGTCCAGAGTAAAGGACGTTACATCATGTAATTATAAAAGTTGAGGAAAATCTTTTCAAGAATTCCCTTCATTTATATAATGACATATCATGTAAGTGCCCATGTTCGAAACAAACAGAAAAACCTCTTCTTCTTTTGGGGCAGCGGAGAAGCATAGCAGTGAATGCAAATGTATGGGTCTATAGCTTATTTTATTATCATACATGAATAAAATATTTCTTGGACGCAATAAGCAGTAAACAAAAAAATTAATGCGTTGAATCTTGTAGAAGAGGGATATGTTTGGAAGTCTGAATTCCCAGACTCCCATCCGCTTTTGTTCATATCCTTTCCATTGATGGTCTCACGGGTCGTCACTGAGGCTTGGCTGGGCGTCTCGGTTCTATGGGTGGTGACTTGATTGAGAATTTCGGATCAAAAAATAAAAATAAAAATAACATTTGATTGCTTCCTTGAATTAGCAAATACCATATATATGCATTCACATGCTCCGGGAAAAAGATTTCACTTTCATCTTAGGGGTTTTTCATGCCACTTAATACTAAGGTCTAGTGATATTTGGGCATGATATGGGCATGTTATTTTTTTTATTTTTTTTTTTTTTTGGGAGAACTGGAAATATGCATAACCAAGGCCGGAGCCAAAAATATAGGGAGGCCTACAAGGCAACAAGAACCAAGGAAAGTACATACATAAAGCAGTGAAGGAGGGTACAAAGGCTAAAGACGCTGCACCAAGTGCAAAGGCGTCGCCCCCTCCACTACCAAAATAAAATTACGGAGGACAAAGGAGCCCATCTTTATTCAAAACATGCACCAAAGAAGATGAGGGACGGTTAATCCAAGTGGAACTGCACATCTTCGTATTGTAACTCGACGTCAAATGGTCCACCGCCATGTTGGCCGATCTCGGAACCCAAGACCAGCAACACGTCTGAAGGAGTCTTGAAGCCGCAAATTTTTTGTCAACGTAGGAAAAGCCTCCCAGCTGCCAGAGGATAAATTATTTACCAAGCAGGAAATGTTCTCCTTTGAGTCGGACCCAACTACAATCATCTCCAAACCCAATGAGCTAGCAAATTAACAACCATATAATAATGCAAGAGTCTCCATCGCAACGGCACTTGGAGCCTTAATTTCAGCTTTCTCGCCACCACAAAACTCTCCTCATCGTTTCTAGCAATGACCCCAACAAAATCCTCACCATTGGCCGCAGCCCAGCTCGCATCCACATTTAGTTTAGTAAATGGAGAATGTGGGGGAGACCAGCGGGGCAGGCATGAAAGGGCTGACTACACAGGAAGAGAGTTCCCCATTGGGTTACGGGAAGCCTCTAAAAAGGCTCCAGTCTAGGAAGAGATAGACATAATGACCTGTTATGGTGCGATAGCCTTCTGGTTATAGAGGTAGTTACACCTAGCCTTCCATATGTGCAAACAAGTGAAGGCTGCATAAGATAAGAAACAATTAGTTTCTTCCTTCGACCTCATATTTGAATTGATGAGAGATGATAACCAATTAGCCAATGTTGTGCGGCCAGCCCTATCCACCTTGTAATTTAGAGAACCACCAAGCCAGATGGTTTCAACCCACAAGGACAACAGGAGCAAGTGCTCAACAGATTCATCGTGAGCATTGCAGAGAGGGCATAGCGGAGAGAGAGAACATCAACACCTATAAAGATCCTCCATTATAGCCAATGCCCGATTCAACGCCCTCCATATAAAGCTTCGAATCTTCCCGAGGTGGTGGGGCGCTTCAACTTCCAAATAACCTTCCAAACTGAAGAAGGAATCGAGAAAGATGTGGACATAACCCTAGCCACCAGTGGCACCGCACAGGAATGTACCTTGTGGTATCCCGACCTCACAATGTATATCCCGTTCATATTCTCCGGCCACACCAGTTGATCCATTCATAATTGGTCACTAATGTTAGTGTTCAATTATCTCCTTGCATTCCTCCTCCAATATAAAGGGCTTGAGAAAGTCAATATCCCAAGTCCTCATAGGCCCACAAATAGGGATAGCAAAAAGGTGGATTGGGCTCGGATGTGCCATCCCCATAACCGAACCTATTTGTTTTCCCCATATCCGAAACCGTAAAAAACCCGAACAGGTATTCCCCATAACCGAACCCGTTGGGTAACAGATTCCCCATCGGGTAACGGTTTTTCCATTATGAACCGTCTGAGAATTACGCACAGTTTGAAAAATAATCCAACGCCCCAGTATCAGGCATCCAATTAAGTAGAGCCCCTTATAATTTATGGCAATTATAATGTGATGATAACGTCAAGAACCACTAACAAGTAACATACATTTAATTTAATTTCTGGTCCTTAATTGGTACACCTTCATATCCTTTACACCTTAAAACATGCATACAGATAGAGAAAAAAGAGAAGGATTAGCTATTAGCTACTAATGCTAAAGCCATAGTAAATATCACAACCCACACAAACATAACCAAAAATAAAAACCAAATTAAAGAAAAATTGAACCTAGCTAAAGCTAAGACAAAGAAGAAATCTCCCTAGATAAAAAAGACTTAATGATATGCACCATTGGTTGTTGGAAGATCTGATGACCACGCGGTAAACGGGGTTCCAATAACCCATTTCACCACCGCCAACCACCGGAGCCGAATCCAAAATTGATGACCAACAATGAAACCGTTTTGTTGGAGATGGCTTGGAGGTGGCTAATTTTGGTTGTTATTGTTTCTCCAAAAAGAGCCTCACAGGCCAAGTGAATGAGCTGCACACAACAAATAGGTTTTCCTTCCCAAAATTGAAGTATTGAACCATTTTTTCTGACCTTTAAGTTCTTCCAGTTTCCATGATTCATAACTTGAAAGCATTAAAAATTTTGGAATAAAGATAAAGACCTTTGAAGTTTGCACTACACGCTCAAGACCTTTGGAGTCTCCCAAGAAGTATTAAAGTTGCTAGAGAAAAAAAATAAGGATTTCATATATTTATATTTTTTAGCGGATACCCCTATAATCATAACTGAACCTGAAACCGAATAATTTACCTAACGGTTACCCATAACCATAAAAAAAACCTGAAATTTGATCCCCGAAATCGAAATGTTCAGGTCGGTAACTTGCAGGGATCGAGTTTAACAGATTAAATTGCCATCCTTACCCACAAATTAAAGAACTCACACGTAAATTCCTCGACACCTGTACATTACCTTATGGAATAGGGTGCCCGAGAATAAGAGACGGGATCCATTTGTCATGCCAAAGTCGAACACTTTCCTCATTCATTATTTGCCAATGGGCAGCCCAAAGTAAAATATCATGACCCACCAGCAGACTCGTTCATCCCCAAAAAGCCCTGCCCCCACGTTTGGCCTCAGAAAAGAACAATTAGGGAAGTACCGAGCTTTAAAAACTTGAGCCTATAACGAGTTTGGATCTTGCAATAGCCTCCAGCATTGTTTAGCAAGAAGGGCATCATTAAAATCACAAAAATTATGAAAACCCATACCCCTCCCCCGCATGTTTCAACAGCCCCATAAGCTCCCGGGAAACCCAATGGATTCATTTCTCCCCTCGTTGCTGCCCCAACCAGAAATCAGTAATCAATGACTCCAATTTCAAGCATAGAGTAGTCAGAAATTTAAAAATGTTCATTGGGTAACTTGTGAGAGAGTGTATTGTTTCCAACCTTGAATTTTTTCCAGAATCCTACCTTTAACATAAGCAAGGCCCTGCTTCTTCAAGCGCCCCCAGATTGATAGAATGACCAAGTAAGTCCCCGGGTCATCCACTGTGGACATACCAAGAACTTGACTGAGTTCCGTAGAGAGACCTCCCGAGATGTTAACACCAAATAAAGCACTAGATTTTTGCAAATTCACCTGTTATCCAGATGCTGCATAGTAAGCATCAATGATCTTCACCAGGTTGCAATAGTTATGTCGATCGCCTTAAAGGAAGAGCAAAGTATCATTTGTAAAAAAATATATATGTGAGATTATAAGGCCACCAGGGTTCGTACGAATGCCTATTAGCTCACGCCTATCAATCGTCAATTGAATTAGCCAAGAAATGACCTCACTTATGAGGAGGAAAAGATACGAGGATAACGGGTCACCCTGACGAATACCCCTTGACGGGACAAACTTCTTTCCCAGCTGCCCATTCACAATCACCGTAAATCCACTGATTTCACACACTTCATAATGAGATTCCTCCACCTCGTGCAAAATCTCATCTTCTCCATCACCGCATCCAGAAAGTCCCACTCCACTCTATCATAAGCCTTATGCATATCAAGCTTAATTCCCATCTCAAATTTTTGTTTTGTTTTCCAGAGCTTCAGGAAGTGGAACATCTCATGAGCAATTCCAATATTATCCTGTATTTGCCTCCCTACCAGAAAGGCATTTTGCATGGGAGAAATAATGTTCGAAAGGATGGAGTTAAGATGGTTAGCCAGCGCCTTGGACAATTTCTTATAGGAATAATTGCATAAACTTATAAGCCTGAATTGCCCTACAGATTCTGGGATTTTTACTTTTGGGACCAATACAATATGGGTAAAGTTGAGTCTTTAAGGAAAACTTACCCCATTCATGATGTCACAAACCACACCATTGACCTTTGCGATTAATGATTCACAAAATGAGTGGTAGAACAATCCTTGGAAGCCATCAGGTTCAGGGGCCTTCATTCCTCCCATTTGGAAAGTAGCGGTTTTAATTTCCTCCCCCATAATCAAACTCGTTAAAGCCTCATTCATCTCCCCACTTATCGAGTTTTGAATGCAATCCAACAACTGACCCCAATCCCTCTGCCCTGAAAAAGTAAACAGAGTGACAAAATGCTCTTCCACTAGACTTCGAACAACCCCCTGGCTGTTGTTGTCAACCCACATATCATTCCCATCTTTAATTTTCACCACATTATTTCTCTTTTGCCTCTGCAGTGTGGACTAGTGAAAGAATATGGTATTTGTATCCCCCTCCCAGAGCCACTTAACCCTGGAGCATTGTTGCCAGTAGCTCTATTCCAACTCCCACAACCTTTGAAGTCTCATTGACTTCAATTTGATTTCCTCCCAATTTGTACTCTAATTATATTGAACTTCCTCGAGCTGATTTAGAAGGTTTTCAATATCCTTCCCTTTTTCCTTAAATTCCTTTCGACTCCAACATATTAGCTGTGATCGGTAATCATTCATCATTTTCTGCCACCGAGTGATCCCTTCACCACCGCACCGACGCCCCCAATAGCTTTCCACAATTTCTCTACACCTATCCTCCTTGGACCAAAAAGCTTCGAACCTAAAAAGCTCATTCAATCGTTAACCTCTTGGCTGGCATTGGATAATTAAGGGACAATGATCGGACCCAATAACCATGTCGTGTGTCACCAATGTATTGGGCCATTTCTCCTGCCAGAGCTTGTTGGATAGACTCTTGTCTATTCATTCCTCCACTAACTGTCCATACTTAGTGCCACGCCAAGTGAAGCTAGACTCATTGAAATTTAAATCCATCATCTCTACACTATTCATAAATTCCTCTAAAAACCTTGGTCTGTGTATAACACTTCTGATCCCCATGTTTTCTCATGATCCCAAAGAAACTTATTAAAGTCGCCTCTATAGAGCCAAGGGAGAATGGATGGCCCAAACCAAGTCTTTATCCATCCAACCTCAGAATGTAGCCTTCTCGGCTTGATATGTGCTTTCGTAAACCCAAGTAACACGTGCCCAAAACTTCGCACCCACCACTCTGATCCAAGCACCAGTAATGTGCTTGGAGGAAAACCCAACTTCCACATCCAAAGAGTCATCCCACCACATGCTCAAACCCCCAACACACCCAGTTTGAGCAACATTAAAACCATTTGGATAACCCATACGTCGTCTAACACCTTCAATTCTACAATCCTTCATTTTTGTTTCAAAAAGAAAGATCATAGAGGATTTGTAATTCCGAATTAGCCCATAAAGGGCCCGAACTACCGTATCCTACCCAAGACCAATGCAGTTCCATAATAGGTGTATCATGGTTCCCTTGCTGTTGTTGAGGGCCAGCCGCTGCCACCATGTGAATAGTCACCCTTCCCTATTTCCACCATAGTTTTTGTCTTCATTTCTGAGATATCTTCCAAATTTTACCACAGTTCCTGATATTCCATGGGAAACTCCAGCAACTCATCTTCAGCATATAAAGCTTTTTCAATCTCTAGACATATTTCCCTCACAGTCATGTTTCGGAGTCTAATTATTGCATGTTGTCTCCTCTCAGAACTACATTCTCCCACCTTCATCTTCTTATGAGAAGATTGATCCAGCTATGTATTTCCTTCTTCGAACCCCGTCTTGTGTTGATATCTCCACTTCTCTATTGTAGGGAGGGTTCACGTAACCATATTGATCCTTCTAGACAAGGATCAACCTAAGGCAAAGCCACATTCATCATAATCTATCTACTTGTAAACCCGAAGTTTTTTTATTTCCTCATCTCGATACAAAATAAATTAGTTATTCCGTGTTTCTAAATTATTGAGTCTAAAGTATTTTTCTAAATATAATTTTATCGATGTCTTATGTGTGAAAACAAATAATTTTTTATGTGAAGTGAGGGCACATTTTTTTGGCGTCGCCCCAGGCCTAAAAAATCTCTGAACCAGCCCTGGCTGGGTGCTTACAGGGCTCTTTGGCTTTCTTCTTGTGCTTTTCAAGTTAAAATTAACACTGTCAGTGCGGCTCGTGGTTCTCAGCGGGCGTGGCTAGTTTTGGTGGTATTCTTATGGATGTTTTGCAAGATCTTTTGGTGGTATTGTCTAGGATTTATCTCAAGTAACGTTTTTTTCCATACCTTGGTCTATTACCCTCTTATCTGATTCATTATCATAGTCCGCTCATATAATCAACATTAAGATTAAGGGACTTTAATACTGGTGTGGCTTCTATTCTCCGTAGCATTTAGTGCTATGAGATTTTAGTCATTGAATTTAATTTTCACAACTATTTGATCTTCTATTTTCAATCTCAGCCGTTCATTTTTTGTGCAGCTCAATGATACCATTGAAGAAAAAATTCTTATTGCATCTTGCAATTCATTGAAAATTCATAATCTAGATGTATCTTCTACATTATATGCTCCTTAGTTTTCAATGGAGTACATGACACAACTCCATATCTTAAAATTAAAGTCATTTGATCACTGAAAATTACGTACTTTGTCTCTTTGAGGTTATTTTAATGATCACACTTATCACTTTTCATGCTAAAGTAGTCATCAACTCAGTTTAAGTTTTAGGTTAAGTTACCATAAGCACCGGGAAAAACTTTTCTTGTTCTACACGGTGTCAAATTAGTTTAGGAAATACCCAAAAACATGATATTTTTTAAATCTAGGGTAGAAATAGGATTTTTTTTAATATGCACATGACATGCACAACAATTGAACAGAAAACGATTTTTTCTTACCTTGAAATGATCAAATTGCCCCCGTATATAAATGGGTTTTTTCCTCTAATTTTATGATTCTTCTTTATACTCTCTCTCTCTCTCTCTCTCTCTCTCTCTCTCTCTCTCTCTCTCTCTCTCTCTCAAATTGATATTTATTGGATGTTCTTAGATTAGTGAAAGATAATGGAAAACCCAGTTAGAAGATTTGATTTATTTGGATATTGTTTGTGTTTGCTGATTGGCCCTTTTGGGAAATGAACACATCTATGTGCTTGCCTTTGCAGATTGCAATTTTCTTCCTCAAATCATCATCTTCTTCCCCAAATTCGAAAACCCAGTTGGAAGATTTGATTTATTTGGAGATTCTTTGTGTTTGTTGATTGGCCCTTTTGGGAAGTGAACACATTTATGTGCTTGTAGTTGCAGATTGGGGATTTCTTCCTCAAATCATCATCTTCTTCCCCAAAATCAAAATTTCAATCAAAACCCATAATGGTCGAAACCAATCTGCAGTCCAAAAAAATTTCAGATGTTGAAGAAAATCCATTATGAAAAACTAAAGACACCATTGTTTCTACTACAATCTCTCTCTCCTTTGCCGATGAACGCCTTCTCCTTCTAAGTTCAACTAAAATCTCAAATTTGTTATCTATATCAATACGTGCAAAGATGTCAGTTTTGTTATGGACATGCATCGTGCAATTAACGGCGTTGAGGGATATGTGGGGCCTAGATTATGGAAATCCCTTAGAGATTTGTAGTTTACAAATCTTTGACCTGAACCTAGATCTTGGAAATCCCATTAAAAGATTTGAGCCAACCCAAAAACCCAGAGCTCACAGCTCTCTTCAAAATTAGAAAAATGATGTCATCACATGTGACATCACCACCATATACACTATATGCACACCACATGCACATCATATGCACAGAACTAGAGATCGACCAACAAGTTGCTTTTTACATTAATAAGAAACTTTAACGGCAATCTATTAGTATAGTGGATACAATTAAAACATAATTGTTACATATATAAGGTTACAATGGCAGTTTGAAAAGTCTTGTTACGTATATCAACCACTGCTTAATTGTGCACGTGGAAAACATGATACTCGTTGTCGTTATTTCATGGATATGCATGACCCTTAACGTTCTCTAAGCTTTTTCTTAATTTTGTTTTTTTTGCTGAGGCCAACTAGGTTGTGGTCATACTTGCTAATGTTCATTCGGACATTTTAACTTCCCACTCTAACCCTCCCTTCAAGATAATTTTGGGCATTTCAAAGTTATTTCAGACATTTAAACTCACCTTTTTTTGTAATGAATATGATTGCCCACGTTGAATTCTCAAATATTGTAATTAGTTAAATTCCATGTTAGTAAACCTGATGTACTTTTTTAGTAGTTCACCATAAGTTTATGAAAAGAATGTGACATGTTTTTTTCGTACCAAAAGATAAGTAGAAAGCCTGTAAAAAGGCAATCAAAAGTTGAAAACCAATTTATAGCCCACCCCTAGTGTACATATATCTTTGTATAAAAATAATAAATAAACTTGTGAAAAATGAGGTCAAAAGTCCAAAATAAATTTCTTTCGAATGAAAAACTTAACGAGATTTGAGTGAGATGACCAATTAATTATTTCAGAATATTCATATGACAAATTGTTTAAAATTTTAGTCAATGAAACAAATTAAAAAATATGTATAAGTTGATTAGACATTTTAAAAGTTTTCCCAAAAACGAAAGAGAGACTAATTTTCTAAGTCATAATGAAAGTTCAGACCATTTTTTATTTTTCAGTTATGTTGGTAAAGTGCCAAGTTTACGTTTGGTCAGAGAAAAAAAAATAATGCACATAAATGAGATGATAACTTGGCAAGAATTTTGGTCGCAATGAATAGGTGGTTTTTTTTTGTCAAAAAGGAAAATAAAATTGTGGGTGAGAAATGCTAAGAAGACTCAATCAAAGTGGTGAGTTTCACTTTTTTGTGAGAATTTTATTAACATTTCTCATTTTGTAGAACAATTTTATGTACAACAGTACCCGCACGCATATTCTACCATTGAGATTACATGAAAAGTGAATTGCTCAAGCGCTCTTGATATCAAAAATTTTCAGCTTCTAAAAAAATATCAGAATTTTCAATTATGTGGCCATAAAAGTTGACTGAGTTTGGATTCATGTCAAATGTATGGTTGGAGACAACGTAAACTGTTAATTCTAGGGTTCTTTAGGTATAAGTCCATGCAACACTTATTTCCTTGACAAAAACCCATCTCGTTTTAAACATCCAAATAAAACCCAAATTTGAAATAAATTGCCATGTAAACAAATAAATACCTATTATTTTTAAAATATTTACAATTATGCCACAACACTCTAATTATGTTGATGAATTTAATTACCACCATAATTATAGCAAATAAGTGCTTTATTATTACAAAAG